TTTTTTTTTTTTTTTTTTTTTTTTACTTTCTTTTTCCGATGGATTTCATGGTCCCAACGGACGAGTCATATGCAATACGCTATCATCTTTTCGGGTTTCTCGCCATTGATCGAATATGAACATAAGATGCTACACTTTGTATCTATAAAACGATTTGTCGTCATCTGTCATTTATGTTTGTCCTAATCATTTTGTATACTCAACATGAAAAAGTTGTATAAGAGAACTGATTGTGATGTCCCACGTTAGTTGGGGAGGAGAACAAAACATCATTTTTAAGGGTATGAAAACCTTCTCTTAGCAGACGCATTTTAAAGCCTTGAGGGGAAGCCCAAAGAGGACAATATCTGCTAGCGGTGGATCTAGACCGTTACAAATGGTATCAGAGCTAGACATCGGACTATGTAGGAGGTTGTTCCCTAAAGGGGGTAGACACGAACGCTGGCCCCAAAGAGGATGGATTTGAGTATCACAATTGGAGAAAGGAAAGAGTGCCAACGAGGACGTTAGACCCCAAAGGGGGGGTGGATTGTGATGTCCCACATCGGTTAGAGAGGAGAACAAAACACCCCTTTATGAGGATATGAAAACCTTCTCTTAACAAATGCATTTTAAAGCGAAAAGCCCAAAGAGGACAATATGTGCTAGCAACGAAGCTAGACCATTACATGATGTAAGTACACGAGCATCATTTTGTACACTCGATATGAACAAATTGCATAAGGGATCCAATCGTTCAGTAATGCAAGTACATTAGTCGTAGGTGAGCATAGTCTTTTGTACTCGATATGAAAAAATTGCACAAGTAATGGGCTTTTGTTTTGTATTTTGCAAAGCCCATTTATAATGATTTTTTCATTTTTTATTTTTATTTATAAATATTTAGAAGACTATATTTCTCTCCAAAATATTGAAAGCCCATAAATGTAAATCCAACTAAAAATTAAAATTTTGATATACAGAGACCAAAGCACAAGAGACAGAGACCAAAGCACAAGAGACAGAGACCAAAAGGCAGTGATTTATTTCTTCACACTGCTCTTATCCTTTGCCGCCCTCCATCACTCCACAGATTCATCAAACACTCTCTCCCCCTCCCATTTACATTTCAAACCAACTAAAAGGGAAAAAAACATGTACATTTCTTCAACTTGTAAGCTACGAACTAAGAACTATACAGAAGCAGACACACACACACTCACTGGAACCTATATAATTGTAAGGAACTCACGTTGGGGTTGAGTTTCGCGGCTTCTTTCCACACTTCAACACCATTTACAGGTATCAAAAAGTAAAACCGTGCTTGCTTTCCTAAGTTGTGACGGTCATGTTGAATAATTTTTGCTTCACAGGACCCTGCCACCGTGCACTGAGACCGGGTTTAATCATTTCGTTTTATGTAAACTAGGCTAACCAAGTGAAGTAACAATAGAACAGGTATTTCAGAAGATTGTTCAACATGCCAAAGCAAAGCTCAGTGTAATACATATACATTCCACAATGGATGTTTTGACAACAAACATCATCTAATGCGCAGTCGTTATGACCATAAACATTAAAGATTAACATATGATCATCGATCATTCACGTAGCGGTTTAAAACATTGAGTAGTAGCAAATAGCAAACAAGCAATGAATTTGCAGATCTCCCAACAATCCAAGGACAGTAATAGTTGAGAGTACTTTTTTTTTGGCGTTACAATAGCCATATTTAAGATGAATAAACATCCGAACAAGAGGAATGTCATTTAGAAGCCAAAGAAAAAAAGGGCCGTAACAGAGGAGTCAAGAGACGGAAGCAACAGGAATAACATAAAATGACTCTCAATGTAACAGCCCAAGCCCACCACTAGTCCATATTGTCTTCTTTGAGTTTTCCCTTTCGGGCTTCCCCTCAGTTTTTAAAATGCATCTACTAAGGAGAAGTTTCTACACCCTCATAAAGAGTGCTTCGTTTTCCTCCCCAACCAATGTGGGATCTCATACCTAATAACCAAAAACAGCGGATGACTACAAAAAAGACTTTGAAGCAAACTCATCCCAGAAGTCGGAGCAGCTCATTATCTCCATCTTTGGACAACTCAAGTGTTTGTGGAGCCATGATAGTAAAAAAAAAACAGTGGATTATTACAGGAAATGGGGCAATGAAGTAAACCACATTTTAAACTTCTCCCTTAGACCTCTCTCTACCGATTCTATTATTACTGTAGTAAGAAATTTGGTAGCTAATATTCTGGCAGTCATTACAGAAGGGAGGAAAGATATAAGCTTCTTCGCCGTAATATCCTAGCAACCTCCATTTGGAGGCAAACCAATACCCAGCATTTCAAGAAATCAACCTCAAATTTTTAAGATCTAACCAAGCCTTCCAACTCTTGCACAAAATACACAACTGAAACCCAAATCTTTGCTCAAGTGTCCAATTGAGAGTGTTACTCTTACGGAATTTTATATTTAAAGGAGAATGAAGGGTAATTTGGCAACAATACTCGCTCATACTATAATCATCATATTGCCACAAGGGGCACCACGCCCACTTAATCAGGAGGGCAAGATTATTACTTCCCACCTAACAAGCTTAAGATCTTTCACATTCTTCAAGGCCTTCCTACAAAAAGAACGATCTTTTCCTATTTAAGACTAACTAACGAAGGAAGTAGATATTGATCTCAAACAAAGTAAATTATCTTTCATCTCACATCCCTAGAGAGAGGTTTTCGTTGAAGAAGATAAACGCTCTTAATTTCGTGGAAAAATACTAAACACGTTTTTTTTTCCTTCTTTTTTAGTGTAACAAATATGGAATGAGAATTTGAACCAAATGCTTTGACGGCCAAGCTATGACTCTAGACCCTAGTTAAGGGAAAGCGTGCAACTCAGTCTTCTACCTGTGTCATAATAATATTACAGAACAACTAGCTAGTGATATGAAATAGCTTATGAGTGTGATTGAATACGCATGATTATCAAGAGAGACATATAAACTCAAATAAGCAAGAGAGGGTACTATTATTTAAACCATAAGGCTAGTTCTTTTGGTTTTTTCTCCCTTCTCTAAATCCATGATGTTTTTTTGTTACGGGAGATGGGATGTTCGTTTCGTAGAGGACTATGGATGGAGAAATCTCTCNCCCCCCCCCCCCCCCCCATCTTCTTTTTCCTGATCTCCATTATTGGTCTTCTTTGAATCCCTTCTCTACACACCCTTGGTTCCAACTGCTTGTTTTTAGATAGAGAAACTTCGATTCTCTTATTGAATATCCTTATTACTTGGATTTCATCTTCGTCACAGATCTAGGAATGCCTATATATCATGGATCTTGTTGGAGAGCACTCTAATATTTTCCTCAAACTATACTTCTGCTGTAATTACTCAAATCAGGGTGGTCATCTACAATGTCATATAAAGGAGGTTATAGCAGATTGAGTAGCTAACTTCTCTCTAGAGCAAAGAAAAGTGTCCTGTTACAATGTGTGTGTTCTTTTTTTATATGTATGTTCCAAAATAATCAATCTTGATTTCGATTGAGCAGTTAGCACAGCCATAATCACGTAGTAAGTTGGCCAAGAATTTAATTGAAGAAAGATAAACAAATGCTACAAAAAAAAAAAAAAAAAAAAAAAAAAAAAAAAAAGAAGCAGAAAGCCAGTGGAGTAATAGAGTTGCACTGAAAATGCAATGATCACATGAGCTATGTAGAAACCCAAGAAAACATTAAGAAACTAAATTATAATATATGAACCAAATCTCTAATTTAACTAAACTAAGCTAAACTATGAGCACAAGCAGAAGCAGTAGTAGCAGGTAGAACATCAGTTAAAATATAACTAAACTAAATTATAATATATGAACCAAATCTCTAATTTAATCTAAAATGTTTCCATTTTAATATTCCTCTAAACATTCAAAAAGAAACGAACATCAATGAGACGCCACTTGGGGGTTGGGACCTACCATTAATAAACATAACATACCCTGCACCTGTAGTGGCGTGCAATCCCACGGGCCACTAACGCGGTTTATTGGGTTTTGTGAGGCTCAGAATACGACAAAATGGTGGGCATATACCCTGCTGACCTACTCCACCCAATTCATTGACTCTTTCCCTTTTCTTTTTTAGTATTTTATTTGTATCTATCAATGGGTGTGTGGTTAGCGTTAGCCATCCTAATCTACATCTACATCAACATCAACATCAACTAATCTTTACAAGATGATATTTAGCAAGGGGAGATGACCTTACAATTTTTCTTTTCTTCATGAGCTCACTTGCTAGGAGATGGCAATTCTTTACCGTTTGTTAAACTACGCTTAAGTTAATCTCTAAAAACATTTAATTATAAAAAAGAACTTTCCTATTTTGAATTATCATTCCACCCCTCTCACTTGTTGGGTGGGGAGTTTTTAGATACAACAAATATACTTTAACCAGTTGAATTATGCTTAAGTTCATAACTCAACGCTCACTTGTTCACCATCTAAAATCAGAGAAACAACCGATTCCATGAAATGTTCAAACAAGCTTGCAAGCATCATGATTATTCCCACTGGACAACTTTTTGATTCATCATTTTGGTACACAGACAATTTGTAAGATATTAAACCTTAAAGTAGCTGGCCACCACAACTTAAACTCATTCCCCTCTAAACTCCTCGTTACTTATATGAACCTTCTTGGCCACAAATCAAAACATGCTATCTTATTTTATCCTTTTCGTCGTATAATTGAAAAGGATTTTTTGGTTTTTTCTAAAACCAAAAAGATTCCCTTGCTGAAATTTCTCCAAAACCTTAATGAAACCTTTCAATTCTAGCAAGTTTGTAGTCAAACTTTGTCCCTTCCTCTGAATTATTTGTAGATTTAAAAAATTCCGTCGGTATCATTCTAATGGGAAATTTATGCATTCTAATCCTCAAATATTTTCAAGTTCAATAAAAAACATGAATGAACCTAAACAGAGACTAACAAATCAACAGGCTATTTTCAGAATAAACCAACCCACCAATATCCATAACTCAAATCAATGGAAACAACTCAGATTCAATCGATTCAGAGCTTCAAAATTCAGGGTTTTACTAAAAAAAAAATACTATTAGCTAAATTCAAGCCCAGATTTCTTGACAATTTGATATAAGGTCAAACCAGATCGTTCAATGAAACCATACCAAAATACAAAATTAAATCCACGAAATCAATAAAATAAATCTAGATTCCAAACTAACACGACCCACAGATTATTTATTCTATATTCTATGAAACCAAATCAGTGATTGTTTTTTTAATGATGATTACTATCCAAAGTAAAGTTCAGAATTCGTGTTTGAACCTTAAACAAAATTTAATCACAAGCTGATATATGTATAACGTAATTGTGAAGAAGGATGAAGAATGCTTACCAGTAAGAGGAACGAGCCGGCAATCCCTTCAGTCCCGGAAAATGACGTCATCGGCGATTTCCATCAACGGCGTCAATGCTTCCGGCGAGAACTTCCTGGCAAAGAAAAAAGAGTAGCTCGAATTTGACTGCCTCAGAGTTTTTATGAGCGCCGGCGAGACTTCCTCCGGCGAGTACAAGTGAGGATGCCCATCCCAACATCCCGTCCAATTAACCCTAGTTAGCGTGTAGTGACTGCAACCTTGCGGATCCTCCATGGACAACAATGTCGGAAAGTAATGCTCCTCAGGATAACACGGCTCCTCGCCCAAGCACGGAAGCTTGAACTTCCTCCATAGTTTTCTCTCTTTCACCACCAGCACTGCGTGATTTCGAGTCAGAATGAAGAACTGAGATCCAACCCTGAATCGCTCGAACGGCACTTCAGGAAGCATTGCGGTGGCTCCCCTAGCGATGTACCGCTCGTACAGATTCGGCTCATCGGAGAGGATTTCGATGTAGCTTTTATAAGTAGATTTCGAAGAAAAAGATCGGAGGGAAGTGACTGAGTTTTTAAACAAGAAATTGTACATGAAATCAAATGAATGAATAGGTATACATCGTTGAGAAACTAGGGCAAAGTAGAGGTTCAGAGGGTCATCGATGACGGCGTGAGCAAGGAGTCTACGAGCGGCAGTGATGAGAGTCGGTGACGCTCGCTCAGTCCTCCTCGCCGGAATGAATCTGCCATCGAAAACGCCGCCGGGTTGGTTTAATTCGACGGAAGGATCAGCGTGGATGTAGATATTGTAACGCAATCCATGGCCACGGAAGAAGCGTTCCCACAACGGGGCGAAAAAGAGATCGGAATTTGTCAGAAAGAGAAACGCAATCTTGGGTTTAGGGTTTGAAGTGATACCTAACCGCGAGACGGAAGAAACACCACCGCCGCTGCCGCTGCCGCTGCTGCTGCCGACGACGACGAGATGTGAAGTCCGAATAGTGGCCCTGTGGAAGAGAGCAATGTCCTGAAGGTCGCCGAAGAAGGAGAAATGGGATTGGTTAAGAGGGAAGACGAAGAGAAGAGTAAAAGAAAGAAGAAGAGCCAACGGAAGAAGAAATGGGGATGAAACCATGGCCAACCAACAGCACCAAAAACAGAGAGAAACAGAGATTTGGGCTTCCTTGCTAGCTTTCTGGTTCAACAGTGTGAAGGAGAAGTGATGGATTTTGGTCACATGGGTGTTCTTGGTGTTTGGCAAGTGGGAAAATGAGAGAAAATGAGAGAAAATGAGTGGGAAAGTGAAAGAAAAAGAGTGGCAAGTGGTGGAAGTGAAAAAATAAGAAGAAGAAGAAGAAGAAGAAGAAGTGAGAAGCAAGCAAACAAAAATGGGAAGTGGACCTTCACTTTTATATATTGCCCATCAAATTCTATCCTCATTTTAGGGTATATATATATATATATATATATACCCTAAAATGAGGATATATATATTATAGAACCGGCACTCTTTACTTATATATATATATATATATATACCCTAAAATGAGGATATATATATTATAGAACCGGCACTCTTTACTTCCTCCAATCGATATGGGACCGTCACCAAATCGCCACACTGCCTCGTTTCTGGCTCTGATACCATTTGTAACGGTCTAGATCCACAGTTATCGCCACCAAATCCACCTCCTTCAGGGTCACCGCCCTGTGTTTGGCTCTGATACCATTTCTAATTGCCCATATCCATGTAGTATCCTTTTTGGGCTTTCCACCAAATCCACCCGCCTTCGGGTCACACCGCCTCGTGTTTGGCTCTGATACCATTTGTAACTGTCCATATCTATATACTATCATTTTTGGGCTTTCCACCAAATCCACCCCCGTTCAAGGTGACATCGCCTCGTGTTAGACTCTAATACCATTTGTAACTGTCCAGATCCATATAGGCTTTTTGGGCTTCCCACTCAAAGCTCTAAAATGCGTCCCGAAGGTTTCCACACCTTTATAAATGGTGTTTTGTTATCCTCCCCAACTAATGTGAGACGTCACAGTCCAACTCAAACTAAAGTAGGACTGAATTAAGTGTACTTTTATTTGGGTTGGGTTAGATCGAGAATTCAATTTGGTTTGATGGTTTGACATTTTTGGTCGGATCAACCTGATAATTGGTTGGATTGTGAACTTTTTTCGAGTTTTTTCTGTTCACTAAAAAAAAATTTCAACTCAACTCATTCGCATTCAAAATATTCGAAACATTATTTTCAATAGTTTTTATTATTTATGACTTTTTTTTTAATTTTCATAATTTAATTTCTTTAAATTTTGTGACAATAACAAATTGTTTTAAACTTCAATAAAACCATTTTTTATTTTATAAAAAATGGTTTAAGAAATTCTCGTAAGTATTATTATTATTATTATTATTTGTTTAATTTCATGTTTACACTTTTATTAAAATTAGTAAATTTTTAAATATTTTTACAGTTACTTTTGTTAAAATTAATTAATAATAAATAAGATTTTAAATAAATGTTTTCAAAGTTTGTTTAAATAATGTCATGAAAATTTGTATTATAAAAATAAATATATTTATTTAAGTTTTTGTATGTATATAAATGAATATTAATTTTACAAAAAGGAATATATAAATTATGAATATTAATTATGCTTATAAACCTAAAATTAATTAGAGGGGTAACTGGTAAAATATTAATTTTATTTGTAACAAAAAACGAAATATATTTGTAAATGGTAATTTTTATTTTTACTTTCTTATAAAAACGTAATAATAAATAACGGTAAATTTTATTTCTTTATTTATAAATATAATGAAAAACTGATTAAAAATGGTATTTACGGTTAAAACATAAATGAATTTAAGTTTTTTATTTTTTATTTTCTTATTTAAATCTGGGTCATATTTTAATTACTAAGCAAAACATTAAATTACATAAAATTAAATATTTAAATTTAAATAGAAAAATATTAAAAACCCTCAACTTACCATATAATATTTTAATGTGACTAAAAAACATCTAACATAAAAAAACAATAATATTTGGAATGTTTTATTTATTTATTATCATTTTAATACTATTTTATGTGTGACACGTTTTATACTGAAATTGTTTAAAATAAGGTTGTTTTTAGTTTTGGTCTTGTCTAGTCAAACGAATATTAAACTTATTTTCTTGTTTAATATTCCTTTTACTAAATAAATAAAAATAAATAAATTAAGAATATTTATATTATAAACTAATTCCATTATTGAGTTATAGTTACCTACGTCTATGAGAAAATGATTATGTTTTGAAATATTAATTTTTTTAATTAACGAATTTATAAAAAAAAAAACAGTCTTATACGAACTCATAGTATAAAATACTCTGTTCACATATCTACACATGAACGGTTTATTTTTCTTTCGTCAGCAAACCATTTTGTAATGAACGGTTTATCTAACCATTTTGTAATCTCTATGAACGTTGCAGCGAGAACTTTTTTTGGATCATAGGGTTCACTACCTAACCTGACCCAATCTTCTATTTCCGGATTAAGTTGGTACGTGAAGTTGTTCATTTTTTTATTTTTTAAAAAATTATCTCATAAAACTCAACCATCAATCCGTCACAAGTCACAATGGATTACTAATATCTTATGCAAACATAGTCATTTCATGATTCTCCTTCAGCCCACTCTCTTTTTACGTAGCCAACTAGTCGACTCTAACAAAATAATCCATCAGTCAACTTGACAATAGTTGGATCATAGTCAACTTTCCGACCTGCGTATCTCAATTTCCCAATCCACGTTCTTTCGTGATTCTCGAGAGCCCCTTCAGGCCACTCTCTTTTTACATAGCCAACTAGTCAAAAAAACGTCCTGAAATTCAAGTGATTGTAGATGATCTAAGTAGCAAATAGAACGAAAGTCAAAGAGGGAGGGGGAAGAGAAACAAATGATGCTTCCTTGAACAACAGCATATATTTCCCTTTTCTTATGTTACAACAAATAACAAATTACAGGAAAACTGAGTCCATAGCACAGGGTTGATGTTTTACCTGAAACATTCACAGACTACTACTTACTATTACAGTACAAGGAGTGTTCTTCCACTTTGCTAAACCTAATACAAAATTTGTGAACTTGTGCTACCAACAACAAAACCACAAAATAATTTGCCACTTAAATGAGAAAACACAACCAACAATTCTTGGCTTCGACGTTTCCTCGTATTATGTCGAAATCAAACAATCCAGGTGACAAATGATATCCCGCTCCCTCCACCCCTCCTCAATCCAACCGATGTTCGTGACGGTGATGGAAATATAACTTTTTCCTAGATGAAAAATAACTGGGGTATACAAACACAAAAAGAAACGAATAATACCTTCTCTCTCGATTGCTCCTACTTCTTTCGTGATTTGCTTTTAACTTTCACGTATTTTCGGTTCGCTTTGTCACCGCCACCCGCGCCTAATGAGAAGCTCCCTCCAGCACTGGCATTGAAGTCTAAGCTACCAGAAGCATGAAATGGAGAGGGATTTTGTGGGGTAGGTGCATTTTGCTGGCTGCCGAACTGGAAAGGACTTGCTGCTACCGGAGGAGGGGCCGCTGAACCAAACATAAACCCTGATGATGGAGGTGGTGTAAGGGGCTGTTGCCCAAAAGTAGGCGTAGGCAGCGTGACTGCCTGGACGGTATCCTCAGCCATGCTATCCTCCATATTTGCTTGATCATTATTGGCAGGGGGTGTTGAACCAAAAGTGAAGCCATGATTAGAATTACTGAAAGCAGGCTGTGACGACGCAGCGGAAGTAAATGAGAACATTGACGTTGTCGATGCACTAGTTGTTGATGACCCAAAGAGCATAGGTGAACTATTAGAAGCAGCGGAAGAAGATGAAAGACCAAAAGGGAACCCTCCAGTTGGAGTTGAGCTGAATCCAGTGGAAAATGATGGCGTGGAGGATGTCTGCCAGTTAAAGAAGCTAGAGCTGGTACCAGCACCCGAGCTGACAGAATTATTAGCAGAAGAACTTGTACCAGTAAGCCCAAACGTCGTGCCAGAAGAGAACAAATTCGACGCTGGAGCTGAAGAACCAAACAGAGAACTGCCAGAAGACAAACCCGTATTCGCAGCCAAACCAAATGATGTAGATGATGAACTGAATGGCAAAACAGGTGTACTCTGAGTAGAAGATGCAACCCCACTATTAGCAGGAAAAACCGGAGCACCAAATGTAGGGACATTGCCTGGAGCAGAAGTCGAATTTTCTGGTCGTTTATTAGAATCTGTAGTAGCTGCAGCTCCGAATTGAAAAACGCTGCCTCCAGTACTAGATACTTTAGCAGCAGACGTGTCGCTTGGAGGAATGCCACTTAAATTACCAAAGGTTGTCTCTTGCTTGGTCTTGGTTTCCGCTGCTGATAGAGCTGGAGCGGAAGATGAAGGAACACTAGGGCTCCCAAATTTGAAAATAGGTGCAGCTGAAAAAGATGGCACAGGAGAAGGCATAGAAAGGCTAGTAGTGGTGGCGGGTTCGCTGTTGCTAGGGGCAGTAGTGAGGGACGGTTTGATGGATGGATTTTGATTTGTTATATTATTCGAAAAGGTGGTGGCTGGGGAGGAAAATATAGATGGGGTAGAAACAAGAGATCCATTATTAAGATTTGAATTAGTGCTAGGGGAGCTGAAGGAAAATAAGCTGGGAGCTGATGTCGATGTCGAGACAGATGACGAAAACAAATTCTCAGATGTACCAACCGAGAGACCGGCACTCAAACTCTTATCACCAGCTTTGTCTGACATGGACTCTTTTGGAACTCCAAATGACAGGATGCTGCAATAAAAACCGTCTAAAACATTAGTCACTAGTAATTTTCATAAAGCATCACGAGTATCAACAACCTAGAAACAGACTAGGCGACCAGATCTTGGGAGGTGAAAGAGGGAAATTCCAATTAAAAGAATGCGAATTTTTCATAGTGTCCTAAGCCCATACAAAGCACAAACACGTCGATTATGATGCACAACGCTTTTCTCAGCCCGCAAAAAACATATAATCTTGTTAAAAAAACGAAAAAACTACGATACAAAGTTGTTAACAGAATCTAAAATGATAAACCAAAGTAATTTCTTGAATAAGTTAAGGAAAAATAACGACAAGAATACAGCTTCATCCATTGATGATTACAAACTTTAAAAATGCAACAGAATCAATTAGCTTCATATAAATTCATGTATGTGCCGTCCTCACAAAAGCTCAAACACAAAAGAGGGAAAGATTCAGTCATCGAAAAGTCAAAAAGCTTAAATGGTGGTAGAAATCAAGGACTGGCCATAGTTTCGAAATCC